TTTAGGGCAAACATATTCATTATAAAAGGTTGATGGTGCTACATTAGATTGGCTTTGGAAGAATGCCATTTGAAATCTAGAGCTGGAGACTCGGGAATGCAGTAGTTATATTTTAAGTCAAACAGCTAATTAATGACTAAACAAAAGAAATTTCAGTCTGGACAACATACATGGCGTACTAATAAGTGTAATTATGAAGGAGTCATTTGTGCAATCAGAAAGTTGCATTAACTTAATTATTTCTGGCTCTGGGCCTTAAAAATATTACCTTAAAATGCAGAAACCTCATAATTGGCTCACCTAGTAAAGATGTGACTACCAACTGATTATGAAGCAAGACTTGGTTCCGTTAAAGAACGTGCTAATACATTCTCCCCTGCCCTGTAAATAAAAATCAGGCCTAATCCATAAATTATACACAGGTACAAAATTTCTACTTGTAATATATTTTAATTACTCAGAGCCCATTATTAATATTCATTACTAAGAATCAAAACTATTTCCCTAAGAAATGAGTTTTGCTACTTTTTAAAGAAAAAGAATAATGCAGGGGCGGGATTTAGCTTAGTGGTGTTGCTGCCTGCCTCACAAGCACAAGGTCCGGAGTTTGATCCCCCGTACCATTAAAAAAAAAAAAAATCATGCAAAAATACACTACATTTATGTATAATGCTTGAATATGCAAATGAAAACAGAAGGCAAACAAGTTCATGAAACAAAAGGACGTGAAATTACTAGACAGCTGCAAGACATTGGAAAAGTCCACTGGAAATTGCTCTTGGAGCACCAAAGTCAGGCTGCAGGGGTGACACTGCCCATCCCCCCACTTCCCAGCTCGCTGGCTCAGGGAACACTAATGTATCTACACAGCTAAGGTTTCCGCACCTAAAATATGAGCAGACTCAAACAATCTACCTCATAGGATTAATTCACAGACTGTCACGGTTTAGATCTCGAAAGTCCCCCACAGGGTTCCTGTACTCAGAGGTGGGGCTTTTGGAAAGTAACTGGATCAGGGCGTGCTACTGCTGACTTACTGTTGGAGATGGGGTCTGGTAGGAAGAGGTGGTTCAGGGGGGCTTGCCCTGGAAGAGTTTGTCTCTCTTCCCAGCTTCTCCCCCTCTTCTTGGTTCCTGTCATGACCTGAGGAGCTTTTATCCACCTAGGCCCTTCCTCCATGCCATTTCTACAATCAAGCCTGCCAGCTATGGACTGAAACTTCTGAAAGTGTGAGCCAAAATAAACCTCTCCTCCTTTTAAGTTGTGGGTGTCAGGTATTTTGTCCCAGTGGCCAAGAAAGTGACTAAGACAAGAATTAAATGTGATTATTCATGTAAAGGACTCAATAGTGCCTAGCATACAATAAATGTTCAATAAATGTTTGCTTCCACAGTTACTGTTGTAGTCATCATCATCATTTCCTTTATGGTCGTCAGAACTGGGGATCAGTGTGGTTGAGAGTACATAGTCTAAAATTGATCTGTTTTTAGATACATTTATTTTGCAACTGCAAGTAACATTCAAGAAGGGCAGACTTTATATCTTCCAATGGGCTAGAAAAGGTTAAAAAAAAAAGCTTAGCTAGGCCAAAAACCTCCCTTCATCTTCTCACAGTCTTCCTTTGAGTAACTTTCAGCTTGCATATGAACCCACAATACTAATCTCCCACTAACTCTTTCTAACTCAAAACTACATTACAGAATGGATTTGCTGAGTACACTCAGGCAGTTTAGAGTTATGGGGTCTTTGATTAAAAGCCTACACACAAGTAATAGAATGAAAGTTCCTAGAAATTAATAAGTAACACAGAAAGAAATTAAGCTAAGAAATAGCCCCTATCAAGTACGCTGTCTTGACCCAATTATCTAACCCTTTCTACCTACATCCTTCATTCCTAAGAAATATTACCCATCTTACAACAGTAAAACATGACATAAAATAACCAGTCAGTAGCAAAGAGCAGGTGCTCAATAAACATCTGAATGAGCACAAGCTCCCTCTGCCTCCTTATATACAAACACCAGACACTCAGGCACGAGCACACACACCAAGCCACACTGTACCCAGGCCTTCAACAGTGTACACCCAGCAGAGAGAGCGAGCCAGAGAGAACACAGGGGATGAAGGAAGACGGCAGCTGCCACTTCTCGGGGGCAGCTCCGACCGCCAGTTTTACTTGGCAGACACACTGTGCAGAGCGAGCTGGAAACGCAACTCTCCAGGGCACTCGACTGCTCTCAGGCCCACGCACCTCCTCTAGTTCCAGGCCCTCGTCTCAGGAAGTTGGATCTAAAGAATGGCAATTTTTGTACAACACAGCTTCTGAATATAAGCAGAGTGTTTCATGTGGCCCTCAACCAAAACAACTGCCATCTATTCCAACTCCAGCAGGAAAGTGGGCTCTTTCTAATGGCTGTGAGACTCCCCTTGATGGTTAAGTCAAGGGATTTCACAGGCAATGTTGACTCAATAGGATTTTCCCTCACCCAGGACCACAGAGCTCCAGGGAGAGGTAGGTAAGTCCACGGAACTCGGTTTCCTTCAGGTTTTCATGTCAGCGCGAAGGATGGCAAGCTGAAGAATGTGGGAAAATGCCAATACTCAGCAAAACCAAAGAAGTAAGCAAGCATTTTAGTAGCTGTCCTGATTGTTTTGTTCCTACTATTATCCTAACCAGCTCAAAATAAAATAAACAAAACCGATGACAGCATATCATCACATAACACCCTACAGAATTAACAACTCAATGTAAGTCTTCTGCTGTCACACATAACATTCCTCTACTTTTCCTAAGCCACAAAATAAACAGGAAAAGACACGCCATGGTCCATTACATAGAAACATGGGCCAACCTTTACACTCAGTTCTCTCCTAAGAGTTTTTTTCAGTGTTAAGCTGACAAACTCCTGACAGAACACAAGATCTCGGGAAAGAGAGCTTCCAGCTGCCCCTCGGCTGCTGCTTCCCGTGGCCTCCACCCTTAGGAGCCCCTCCTCCTCCTTGTTGCAGCTGTGACCAGCTGCACAAAGCAGCCCACCTGTTCCCACCCAGAACCCCAATTTCATATTTCCCCAGCATTTTTCTCTCTCTAACTGGGAAGACAGCAAAGGAGTGTGTGTGTATAGGGATCCTGGTAGAAAATACAGAACTTGTTAATTTTTCTTTTAATCTCGTCCTCTACAAAACTTCTTTACTAGTGTTTTATAAGGTATTTGATATATTGGCAAAATGGAATACGTAAATAATTTAAAGGTAAATAAACATATAAAAGATAAATGACACGACTTAAAACTTTCAAAACAGTTTTGAACCCACAAATCTACCAACTAAATTTCTGACACTGCTAGTTATAAGATTCTTCAAGCCACCAATTTGAATCATTAGGCCATTTCTGGTTTCAAATATAATTTTAAATTATAATTACAGTGCCAATTTCACAAGAAGCATAACATTGAAAAACATCCATTACGTTTTTTTTTTACACTTATAAACTGCAGCTAATGTATAATATGCTATCAAATATATGTTTCAGGGAATACTAAGGAACATACTGAGTTTTTAAATAATTCATAACTAGGAGAGAATTGGTTTCCAAATAACACTATGTTGCTGATAAGAATTACAATCCATGATTATAACTAATTTTCAGTGTATTTGTTTTCGTGTCTAAAATGTTTGAAATAGTTAATAAATAGCTGGTTAAAACCACAGGCCTCTACATTAGCTAATGTTTGCCTAAGTAAATGTATTCTACCTAAGGGGAAAATATCATTCATGCATATAAACAGAATACACATACATATATATATATATATATGCACACACACATATATATATACACACACATATATATACATATATATCCTAAAAAGAGATTTAAAATCAGTTGAAACAAAGTAACAAAGCTGTAAGGTTCCACAAACTACTTAAATCTGCAACTTTTAATTAAGTAAAGGGATTTCTATCCATGTAACCTCCCACACCTCAAAACGATTCTGACTCAAGAAGCTGGCAGAATCTTTTAAAAACAAAGCCAACAGACAGCAATATTTTCTTCTTGTGTCCTTAAAAAAAAAAAAAAAAGAACAGTGCCAATCAGAGGTTGGGTGCTATATTTCGCCTAACTTGGAAGTAAATGTTGAACCAGCAACACAAGTGGATTTAGATCAACTTGGAAAAACCGGTAACCCCAGCCATATGATTTTTAAAAATATAATTTACAAACTGATGAACATGTTCCCAATTCTCATCATTACAATAAATAAATACCACCCTAAACTGAAATGGACACATGCCCAATTCTTATCACTAATAGCTATTACCCTAAATTAAAATACTCAGATTTTAAAATTTAAAAAATGACAAAACAATACGCTATTACGAAGAACCTCAGATTAAAATCTGCCATAAATAGAAACTTCACCCAAGAAGATAAACTGCTGTTCATTCTACAATGTCAATCTACTATTGGAATGCCAAATATACAATCTAATATACAGCCTTCCTTCCTAATAAAAATTCCTACCACTACGGCAAAGCAGTTAATTCTCCAAGCAAGCTCTCATCAGAGAGAACTAAAGCTGTTTGCTGTCCTTCCCGATTCTACAGAAACTTCACATCATCAAAGCACTATATCGTCTGTAATGCATGGGGGCTGCATATTTATTAATTCGTGACAACGCAGAACTAATGTTTACCTGAGATGTGGGTAGGTTAACCACCAAATGCAAGACACCAAAGGCAAGAAAATACAAACATAGAGACCCATGCTGCTTTCATTAGGTCAGCGTGCAAATTTTACATTTTCAATGCAAGCCAGGCAGATCAGAGACAGACCAAGATACAGGTTGGTTTCTGTCGAATCAGATTAAATACCCCTCTCCTTGACAATTCCCTAGTTCAGTATTTTGAATTTAAAGCTAGCAGAAAGTAACACTATACAAAACCACCTGAAGTTTGCCTTAAAGTAATTATACCCTTAGAAACGGAAGTTTATCTACCTCATTAGTGTTCCATCGGTGCCTCTCTTTTGGTAAACTTGAACACTTCGGCAGACACTCAAGCAGCTTTTTCGGTAAAAAGATTTTTACATGACTACTATTGCTGTTCCCATGATCATCTATAAAGAAGAAAACAATCAATTCAGAGAAAGTAAGAGAAAAGCCTCCTTTTAAGTACACTGCTAAGGCCGCAAACAGCAGCCTGGTTTAGCACGGTGTGACCTGAGCATCAGAGGGCCACCCACCTCAGGCAGGGACCCTGGGCTACAGGCTTATCAGATGGAGGGGGCAGGAGCCTGACCCAAGCTTCCAAGGTAGGACCGAGCTCTGCTCCCTCACAGGCAAGCGGACAGGGACTGTCCCAGCAGTTGCCCAGAACCCATGCTTCCATGATGCACATCAGACCTGCACAATGATTCAACCTCGCACATCCCAGGAATCTCTTATTAACCAGTAGAAAAAGTTTTAAATTTTTAAGTAGGAAGAATTATAATAATGCATGACTACCTTATTCATACACTAACACTCCTTCATTTCCTAGAATACAAATGAGATGCATCTTTCAAATACTGTACAGAATTGAACCTGCAGTTAGCCAGAAGCTAGCCTCTCTACCCTGAATCTAAAAACATATCACTTTAGGTAACTTGATTTACAGGTACATATACAGAGAATTAATATATTTCATCAAAATGTGAATTACTTTGAAACTCCACAGTATGTCCGGCTAATCTGATAATCAGGCTACCAGATGGTTTCTAGTTCAATTCTTTATATATAAACATTTCCTTCAGTCATTTATTTATGTATCATTTACTTTCCACTCCTATTACACAGACCCTTTGCCTGGCTCAAATATCCTTGCTAGTTTTTGTAAATTTAAAGATTCAAAACTACCTGCTACAACTTTTTTAAATGCTAAATGAAATCCCCAACATATATCCAAAGGATACAATGCATAACTAGATACAAAGGAGCAGCACATTAAAACATTAAAGACTGAATTTACTCCAGTAAGACAGTCTTACCAACTTTTTTATATTAATAAGGTATAATTAAGAGATGGAACTCAGAGTTATGAGTCTAAGATTCTGGCCCAGTTCTGCTACTTTCTAATTGTGTGACCTTGGGTAAGTTACTTAATATTTTCAGTTTTCCAAAATCATCAACTACAGAATTAGACATCATTTAATTCTCTTTCAAGAATAAACCTCTATAAAATTTACTGTCAGTAATATGCCTTACAATTCAGCAACATTACATAGGTATGAAGGAATTTATGTTACAAGTGAAATACAACAATATATTTTCCAGTTATTTACTGTACTTTTGTTTAGCACAGTTTTTTGAATATGTAAAAAAATAAATAAATAAAATAAAACAGTTTTCAAAAAATCTTCTCCAAAGTTTCTCATCTGATTAATACATTTCTTCTCATGAAAAGATCTTAAAGGGAAAATATCGAGCATAGAAATAGTCTAAAACAATTTACTACATCATGTAGAATATTTTATAGAGATGAACTTAAAAGACTTTTAGCGTACTAAATCTTTTTTGGTCCATGAACTACAAAACCAATTGAATTATAATACGACCATATATTTCTATTCCAAGACAAAAAGTTAAAAACTGACTGCTTTTAAGAATCTAAAGGTTTTAGTAGCAAAATAAAATTAAATTCTTTAACAAAAGGGAACTTTTCAACTAAGAAAGTTCTGTATTAATTATATACTATAAAATCTTCATAATTTTATGAGCTATGCATGCTCTCTGCACTTCATCCTCCCAAAGGAGGTGCCATGGGCCATAAAACTTTAAATCACAGAAGACCAAAGCACATGAGCCTTTACCTCCCTTCTCTCTACCCCTAAAGTGGTTTTATTCTCTTTTTTTTTGAAGTCCTCATGATGTATATAATATTGAAAATAGAGGTGAAATTCTAAAATCTGTACTCAATTCAAATATTCATATTTACAGGGTATCTTTTAAAGAAACAGCACTATGGCTAGATGCTTGTGCTTGCTTCAGCAGCACATACACTATGCTAGATGCTCAAATCGATGTGCTTCCCCTGCACTGCATGTGAATGCTCGAATCTCTGAGAAAGCCATTTGTTTAGAGCAGGACTCTGAACGTTAATGAACAGAATATTAAACCCTAGCTTCTATCTGTTTATGATCACAACCTCATATTAATTTTCTGTCCTTTCGGTCTCTTTAAGGAACCTATGCCCTGCGGTAAATAAAAGCACCTTGGGGGTTGGGGGGGGGCCTTAACAGCATAACTAACTGTTACAGGAAAAGCTTTGGTCTCCACTCTGATACCAAATCAGGCAGTGGTGATTCGGCCCAAAGGCTTTTAAGGAGAAAAGCAAGCAGAAGGGCTGTGTAAGCGCTGTCTCAATCAAGTTTCTAAATACAGCACTGTATGGGGAGATGCAGCCAGGGGTTAAACAGGAACAGAAGTATGACAGGCCAATGGGCTCCCCGTAATCTGTTTTTAAACTGTGCCATTTCCAGAATTTTAGGTTCATAGAGAATATAAATTGGATATTTTTAAGAAACATAACAATGGGTAAATCTTCCACTGTATATTATGAAGATAACAGTCTCAATATCGCAGAAAGAATTATTAGAAACTCAAAAAGACAAAATGTTAAAACTTAAGCTTTCAGGGCCGGGAATGCAGCTCAGTGGCGCCGAGCCTGGCTGGCAAGTGCAAGGTCCTGTGTTGGGGGGCGGGGGGCCTTATCCTTTCAAAGTTTGATGTTTCCAATTAAAGTATGATAAAGAGAAATTTTGCTTTCACACTGGAAAAGAACTGTTCATGTGGCAATATTGCATAAAAATGTGCTTTTAATTAAGAGCTGCTGTTTAATGTTTTAGGACAAGTATAAACGATTAATTAAATACAAGTGCCAGTATTTAAATCCTAATAGCAGCATCTTAACAATAAAATTTAGGTATACGCATGTTTCAACTACATCTCAGTATTCAGTCTAAACAGTTAAAACACTGACACTGCAAAATGGGAGTGTCAACAGAGTGATAGTGTATCATTTTATTATCATTATCAAACAAAATATCCAGGTATGATATATGACTTTACAAAATAATTTCCAACTTCCTCCACAATAAAAACATAACTAGTGAAGCTCTTGAAATTGACAAATGATTTGCTTGGCTGACAGCTATAATTCTAGAGAATAAACCATCCTTTCTAACCAACCTTTCAAATATTTTCCAAACAATAATTTTAGAGGCACAGTATAACTTAGCTAAATCTTTCTAACATGTACAAAAATGCTTATTCATCTGGTTAACAAGACAAAAAGTAGAATTCCTGCTTTCAGTTCTGTTTCTAAAAATGAAGATTCACATTGCCAAACCATTTTTAAATCCAAAGAAATATATTTGACCTGTTCCTTGGACATTCTGTGATTACCTTTCTGCACAGTAAATTATAACTAAATTAAGTCTAACCTAGAAATGACACCTCCTTTTTATTGCAATTCATAATTAATAAAAATCAAATGATTTTGGTTCTGTGAATAATGACAAACACTATTATCCAATCACGTTGATTATGATTCATCTCTCAACCTCTAGACCCAACTGTTCCAAATCAGTTGGTACAACTGTGCAGCCAATTGCTAGATCTTATTGGGAATATATCTGATCAACAACTTGGAGTGGTAAAATCAAAAGAAAGCTCTACAATTTTCTGTTTAGCTCTAATTGTTATGTGCTTAGATTGAATCAGTAGGATAGGAGCTGATGCAGGAAAACATAAGCAGCACTGTGCGTCCCATCAGCCTGGTGCTCAGAGCTGCCGTGACTAACCGAGGGAGGACCCGCAAATCACTTCCCTCCAGAACAAGGACAAATTGAGCCCGGCTGCGTGCCAAGCGCTGGTCAGATTCTGCACTATTCTTTTCCAAAGAAAAATCTCCAAAATGAATGAAACCCAGTTGTCATTATACAAAAAGATGTTTCAAGGTTTTAAAATATTAATATTTTTAAAATAGAAAAATATTAGTTTTACTATTTAACAACTTCTCTCTTCTTAGTTGTACGAATCATATCTCTTCTTCCTATTTCTAAGTGGCTCAGATTTACCTTTTTCCTGTCAATCATGCTACTTAGTCCCTTGTCCAGGTTTAAGTCAACTCATACCTCAGGTTCGATAAGCATCTATTTATCTGCATTTACATTTTCTTTGTTTTTTGTTCTGTTTTGGTTTATTTTAATGGGTGGGTTTTTCTGTTTGGGGGGGGGGTTTAGACAGAGTCTCACTACATAGGCTAGTCTTAAACTCACTATGGAGGCCTAGGCTGGCCTCAAATGGCAATCCTCCTGCCTCAGCCTCCTGAGTGCTGGGATTACAGGCGTGCATCACCACACCCAGCTGGATTTACATTTTCAATCTAAAAATATGTGCGTGAGGACAGATAAAGCAGAGGCCCGGAAGCCCTGCAACCTATCATTGCAATTTGGGTCTGGGGGCATTTTTTCCTGCTTTATTTCATTCAATGCCAACTATGAGCTACTATGTGACCAAGTGAATCAATTTTCTATTATTGGTTAGGGGTGAACTCTATCGAGTACCCATAAAGGACTTTAGATTGTGTTCTCTTGGTTCATCCTCACAATAAAACATAAAAGCTTAATTCCCCCACTTTACAGATGAGGAACATAAGGCTGAGACTCACTTGCCCAGGAAACACTGCTTGCTGTCAGGAGCTCATGTGGGTCTCAGACATGACCTGTGGCTTCTCCCACAATGCCACACTGCTCCTGCTCTGTCACCTGGTACCAGACTCTGGGCTTCCAGAACTGTTCTATTTCTATCCAATATTTGCAGTGCTTTGACTTTTCTGTGCGATTGAGTCCACTGCCTTTTGGAACCCTCAGAGAAACTCCAGGAGGGCAGAATTCACTCTTTACCCAGAAGGATTAAGTAACTCATCTAAGATCACACAGCAGTTAAAGGCAGAACCCAGCCTTCTAAGTCCTGGCCAAAGGCTATTTCCACTGCACTACCATGATGGCGTTACTCGCACTGCCAAACCCACCCCTTCTGTAAGTCAAAAGCTTTTTCAAATCCTACCTTCTATAGGTGGCACGGTGTTGAGAACACAGTAGGTGCTAGTTCCGCAGAATACACTTTGGGAAACGCTCTAAGGAAACAGAAAATAAAATGTAAAACTAATCTTTGAAAAAGATATATTCTGGCTCTTCTGTGATATTCCTGCCAAAGATGCAAAACCTGAATCTAATCATAAGGAAACATCAGACAAATCCAAAATGAGGAACATTCCACAAAATGACTGGCCTGCAATCTTGAAGAGGCTCAAGGTCATAAAAGTGAGAAAGGACTGAACTGTTCTGCATTAGAAGAGACTGAACAGACGACCAAACATGTCCAATGTTCTGACTGGACATTTATTTACAAAGGTCACTGCTGGGTCACCAGGATTTGAGCACTCAATGGTAGAAATTGCTCGATGTTAATTTCCTGACTTTGATTATTGTATTGCAGTTATGGCAGAAATTGTTCTTGTTTGTAAGAAATACACAATAAAGTATGTGAGAGTGATGAAAATATTGGTGACTTATTTACAAATGCTTCATTGCGGAAAAGTGCTTTGCACTGTAGGCTTAGGACTGTTTCAGAACAAGATGTGTTTGGAAAAGATATATATGCATGTGAACATGTATGATTGTGTAAGTTTTTACTGGGACACATATGTGCTAAACATAAATGTTACTAAGAACCAGTATCACATTCATTAAACAGCTGGTCAGTATCAGCAGCACCGTTAACCACCTCCCAGGACATGCCCAAGACACCACTCACACAAAACAACCTGCTGAGCGCCAGCAAGCAGCACAGAGGGAAGAAGGTGGAAGACAGCGTCTCTGCCCTCGGGCTGCTTTGCTCAGATACAATTATCAAGTTTCATATAAAATCTACTCAACAATAATATTAAGAAAGGAAATAATTTCTTTTGTCTTGCAAACCAATTATTTTCAGTCCTAAAAACAACTTTTACATTTAATTGTAATATTAGGTAAAATTTCAGATTATTCATTCTACATTATAAGCCACATATTTATATACTTAGAAAACCAAAGACAGCTTACAAATTCAACAACCACCCTTAACATTTAACACTGAAAATACAAAGAGCTCAGTTCTCCTACTTACTAGTGTGGTCCTTGGGAAAGTAACTGAGCCTGTCTGTATCACAGAATCAAAAGCAGGCAGATGACACTTCTGCGAGCTACCTCACAAAAAGGTAAGGTAAGTACAAGGGATAATAATACCAAAGGACTTTAAATTCAAAAGGACTACAAAAACATAAAACACTACTATTACAATACTGATAAGGGTAATCTTTAACAATCTGAACTGAGGCCTGCCTAAATTTTTTTATCCCAAAAAGAATGTCAAAACCCACCTAAACTCGCCTCCCATGATTTTTCATTCCCCTCTACCTTATACCTATGATCAAGTGCTTCAGAAGTCAAATTATTTTCAGGGTCCATATAATAAATCTTTCCCCATAATATGACTCCCAGCTACCAGGATAACCATCAGCTCTTTTTCTGTTTCTAGAAAATTATCATTCTAGGGCTTTTAACCCCCATGTGACTTAGTAGTTGCCATCTACAGCACTATCTGTAATAACAACCTGTTGTGGCACTGAGCTCCGGGGACTCTCCTAGACATTATGGACTGTCCTCAGCATACTGGTTTCTACCCGACTGTCAGCATGGAATTATGGCATGTCACACAAAGGGGCAGAAGCTGGACTTTCTCGGACATCTCAATCTCCAACAACAGCCTGCAGACCACGAGAAGGCCACATCTCATCTTCATGTACCTTCTGAACTGAAAGTTTATGATGTTAAAAAGAAATGTCTTAAACAAAAAAGAAAAAAGAAATGTCTTGGGGCCGGGGATTTAGCTCAGTGGTTCCACGGCCTGCCTCGAAAGCGGAAGGTCCTGAGTTAGATTCCTAGTACCAAAAAACAAAAACAAAAAGGAATGTCTTACATTCAAGGCTTAACAGTTTCTGGCTTTCTATTACCGAAAATAGCTGCAGTGGCCTTCAAGAAACCTTAACAATAGTCTCACGTCAAAAGTTTCAAACTCACAAATACTTGGTAGAAGAAACTAATGGCTTCACAAAAAAGGATTTTCTTTTTTTTTTGTCCCAGGAATCAAACTCAGGACCTTGCACTTGCTAGGCAGCCACAGTGTCACTGAGCTAAATCCCTGGCCCAAAAAAAGGATTTTCATATCCAAGTTCAAAGTTTGATGATTAATTAATTAGTGGTAAAATGTTCCAAATACTTAATAGAAAAAATTAAGCACTAAAATAACATATATACGGCCAGGGATTTAGCTCAGTAGTGCCGCTGCCTGCCTCGCAAGCACAAGGACCCAAGTTCAATCCCCCCGGTACCAAAA